GGATGGTCCTAGATTACCGAGGGAACATCCATCAAAATTCAGTTTAATGCGGTCCTGTGGTGGGGGGTTCCAAAGGGTAGCCTGGGCTGGGCGTTTATGATTATGCCTCAGCACCGAGCTCCAATCCTGAAAGAAAGCTGAGGTGGAAACTCCTTTGAAGTGGTGATGATTGGTTGCCCAGAAGACAACCATGGATTTGAGCTTGGTGAGAATTTTAATCCAGGGTGAGTATTCGCCCCTGAAAATTCTATTATTTCTCTCAATCCATAAAGCCCAAATAGTGGCCGCCACCATAGATTTCCAAAGTAAAATCCATGTTTTAGGCCAAGGAAAAAGGGCTGGATGGATGAGAGGATGGACGGAACATACTCGGGTGTGACCCATTGGATCTTAACAAGATTAAGAATTCCCCCCCATAGGTTGTGGGCAAAGGGGCAGTGCAAGAAAAGGTGGTCATTTGTTTCCTCTGCTGCTAAACACATGACACATCGGTTTGGGAGTGGGACACCTGTGCGTTGAATTTGATTGACTGTTAGCACTCTTTGGGAAAGTGCTAGCCACATAAAAATCTGAATTTTTGGAGGGGCAAAGGAGACCCAGGCCTGAGAAGCCAAAGATGAAGGAGCTACTGGAACAGTTGTGACCTGAGAAAGGCTTTGATAGAACGAGGAGACTGTGCAAATTCCGGAACCAGTTGGGGACTAAATGATGTTATCTGGACCACTGTGTGCAAAAAAGAATAATATGAAAAAATATTAGGCAAAGCTGGTTTTATAATGGATAAATTTGTGGTATTTTCCAGATTTTGAAACTCAATATACCGCCGTTTATACCATTTAAAATGGCTTTAAAAACATGAGTCAGTTTTGGCTTGATTCTTGTTACCAGCACATTCTGATAGTTAGAGGCCATTCCTGATATATTGGGGCTAAGTCCGATATAGTGGATTTGTCCACAGCTTTTTGAACGATGGTTGCAGGCACTCTCCATGTTAATCTGCAACACTATACCCGGTCTTCCCCGTTCTCACATGGGCCACCAATGTTCTATTTGGGGTCTTCCTCCTAACATATTCTCCCTGGGATGGATGGCCATGCACTCGGAATTTGAGGACCAATCTGATGCACTATGCAAAAACGTCTGCCAAGACTTTGTGGAGTATTGCACCAAGCTCATTGATCTAAAATCCTTGATGTTGGTTGTCCCCTGTTTTAGAGACCAAATCTATGAATGTGGCATTTAGTCCCCTATGTATGGTTTTCCTCTCGCTTAGAATTACAATGACATAGCCATAATAGTATACTTTAAGATATTCTGTAACTTACCATATAGAAGCCATCTGGCTGCCCTGGAGCTCCATCTCTTCCCAGGGAGAGCACTGCTTTTTAATTTCGTTATTCATGGTGTCTCTCTCCAATCCTACAGCCACATCCATATCGATACATTTGAGGTCCACTTGTACCACGTTCAGCTCCCATCTCATTTGAATCGAATAATCATCACAATTGCCTTGCAGTTCCCTTCTTAATTAGGTCGTTTTGGTTTGATGGTTAATTACCCCTCGACATTTCCCTCTTGCAAACTTTGTTATAATATTCTGCTCTCAAAGTATGATCTTTGTTCACTGTCTAGAACTGATGCTTGCCTGTCAAGATTTCTGACGTTGTTGTTCCCTTGTGGAGGAATATAGATCTCATCTGAGGGTGTTACTTTTCCAATATAAGAGTTGATTTTAGCAAAGGCATGGGCATTGTTAATCAACAATTAAGTTTTTTTGGTTGAGGTTAAGGGGGATGCCTGAATTCTGGCCAGTACTGAGCTGGCATTGCGTAGTTAGAGATAAAATACAAAGAAAAAAAGAGAGGGAAAGATGCGAAGGAAAAGATAAGCATGTTTTGGGGCAACGCAGTGATGAGAAGTTCTTCATGTATTTCAGAGCGATGGTATTTGAGTCTAACATGATGAGGGATGCAGGGAGGCACCATCTATGGTAGAAGGGCAGTGTATCACCGTTTTCGAAGCCACAAAGATGCTGGGTGTTAGTATTAAGATGACTGATGTTTGGATATACCATGGAGGACTAGGAGCTTCGGAGCCCATGCCCCAATTCCTGGTTTGAGTCTGTGATGCAGCAGGAAACTATGTTCTTCTTCTAACTTGTATGCTCAAACTAGGAATTGGGAGGGGTGGCAAAGGTGAGATTGTTCATGAGAGAGAAACGTTGAATAAGAGCATTGCTTGTAGTTGAATGGAGATTAAGAGCAAGGTCCTTGCTTGTCTTGCTGGCGATAAATCTCACCCTGAGCCTTGTGAGATTTATTTGGAGCTTGAAACACTGGGGATGAAACGCATGGGTTATGTGATGGATATTAGTGCAGTGTCATGAAACGCATGTGTTATGTGATGGATATTAGTGCAGTGTTTCATGATGTGGAGGACGATGAGATAAGTAGCATGGTTTGTAGTCATAGTGAGAGATTGGCAATTGGATTCAGATTGATCAGCACGACCCTACATTGGAGCTTTTTGGTGAGCAAGAACCTTAATGTGTCCAATGACTGTCACACTTAGGTAGTCCCTATGCTTATCTTGGGGAAGAGGTGCCCATGCATAAGACCTATTTGAGGAGATTCACATTCTCATATGGTTGTGACCCTGGTTTTAGAGAGGAGGAGAGATTGGACATAGTTGTGGCCCTGGTTTTAGTGAGGTGAGATTGGAGATGGTAGTGGCTCTGGTTTTATAAAGAGGAGGGATTCATGATATTGGATAGAGCCTCTGTTTTAGTAGAGAGAGAGAGAGAGAGAGAGAGAATCAAGGAGTTCAAAAGTGTTTGTTTTAGGGAGAGGAGAGGCAAGGGTTTTAACTTCGATGGAATGTCCGTGCGACGTACTTGCCAATAGGTTATGCGGTGAAGTCCCCATTCCACTTTGAGATTTGGTTTAAATCCAATGGTATAGACTGGGGGTCCCATGCCATAACTTGTATGAGCGAATTCCTATAGTGTTCACTCAAAAGTTCATCATTATCCAAATTCTATTAGATGCATAAGCAAGTCATTTGTTGGGTCAAAGCTGAGCTTTCTCATCAAGGGGCTTGCAAACAGGCCCAAGAACAGTCTTTACTTAATTAAACAAATTCTATTTCACTTAATTAAACAAATTCTACCCATAGAATGAGTGTAGCGGAGATGAGGATGTTGAGATGGATGAGTGGCATTACAAGAAGGGATAGAATTTGTAATGAATCTATTCGAGAGAATTTAGATGTGGTACCAATAGGCGATAAAATTAGAGAGAGTAGACTTAGGTGGGTTGGCCATGTATGGCACCGACCACGTACAGCACCTGTTAGGAGGTGTGAATTAATTCAAGTGGAAGGACTGAAAAGAACAAGGGGTGGGCACAATAGGACGTGGTTAGAAGTAGTCCGAAAAGATATGGGGACTTATGGTGTCATTGAGGATATGGCCTTTAATAGAGCGGATCTAAAGCCAAGATTCTTGTAGCCGACTGCAATTAATTGGGAAAAGGTTAAAATGATGATGACCTTTTTTTTAGTACATAATCTATGTTATTTTCAAAGTAGTGCATGGCTCCCTTGGGTCTAATGATTGCAATGAAATACAACTGCCAACAATAGAGGATGCCCCTTTGCCCCATTGGAATAAGAGAATATGTATTTGAGGTACAGTAGGTGAAACCTGTCCATAGATCTCGGTCTTCAATTCCAGTTGTCATAGTTGTTGGAAAGCAATGTGAAGCTTTGCACTCGAAAGTAATGCTAAGCAAGCTTTCTTGTATTGCAAAGATTGAAATGTACTCATTATTTAGTAGGATTCTTGCTATGAAGCAATGCACTCGAGAAAAAGTCCTACAGAGAGCAATGTGGAGAGCAAAGCACTCTAAAGATCAACAATCCCTATTCCTGAAGTGAATCACCGCTTTATTGGAATTAATAGGGTGTTTAACCACTACATTCTTGGTTCTTAAACATAAGTAGATCCTGTGAGTGGAGTGCTTTAAGCACGGTGTGTGCCCTCAGTGACTGCTTTCAGTTCAAGTTTATCGTCCAATAGTGTTTGAATTTTTTTCTTCTGATCCAATTGACTTGAAATTTTGTGTGTATGTGCATCTCACATGGGCACACCCACAAGAAATACTAAAAAATAATTCTTAAAATACCTAAATTTCGCTATAACATCATGGTGTATTTTGGTTATTTTCATTGTTTGAATTATTGTTCTTTCTATATTTTTCACCATCCACCTGTTAATTTCTTTTGGTTCGGCCCAAAAGTTGTAGGTCATAAAATTTACCAAATGAACCTAGCCATATTCTGCAGGGTTAAGATTGCGTATCTGCAATTTTTTTTTTTTATTTTTTTTTTATTTTTTTTTAAGGGGTGGTGAAGGATGTCAAACATTAATCATGGGGAGCGTGCATGTATTCCCTGTACGAGTGCAAGCCAATATTTATATCGTGTAGCAAGCCATTATGAAAAGTAGAGGTCCTTTACCCCAGATTTTGCATACAAGTACATCTCATCTAGGCGACTCAAGATGATGTTGTAAATAGGGGAAGGAGTGAGTCATTGAGATCTGAATGTGCAGTATTCGTTTACCATTATTTTCTATGATGATAGGGAAAGGTCGTTAACAAGGTTTTGCTATAGGGGTACTAACTGGTGTGTTGCCCCTGCTGGGTTCGGCCCGAACTAGGTCCGGGTCCAACAGACCTGGATTTAATCAGGTCTGGGTATGGGTAAGGGTCAGGGTCTTGGTTAATGCTGGATCCTTCTGGGTCGGGTTCGCGCTGTTTGGGTTCTTGTCCAGGTCTAGGTCTTGGTCCTGCCGACCTGGATGGGATCCTTTTATGCTATGCAATTTAATCATCGTAGTAAAATTCTTAGAAGGATCCTCTTCTGTAAACGACCAGCACAGGGACCTACTAAGATCGCATTATTGGTGATTTCTCTAATATTAAATTACTGATGCTTAGGTTCAGCTCCTCATTGGGAAATCATGGGCAACTGCTGATTTCATGAACGTGGTTCAGGAGTGCCAAAGGAATTTGACTACTAGTTGTTAATTAAAGGGGAAGAACCTAGCTCAGATGCTAGTGTGTTTTGTACCAGGGCAGATCCATGAGAGACACATATTGCTTACTTGGTATACTTGTATGAACGTTCTTTTGAGGCCCTTATGGATTTTAACTATATATACAATTAAAAGCATAAATCTGCCGGATTATTGGATGGTGAAGACTTGATATTGTGAACTTATTTTATGGTTTTTTGAGGCGCATTATGTTGTCATCAGTGTTTGAGAAAATGCATTGGTGGAGTGAATTGCCCAGCCACCAATCCTGATCCGGATGACAAAATACTTCCATATATTTTACATTTATATAGCTAAAACCCCTTCATAAAAATTTATAAAAAACAGCTCCAAGGAGGGTCCGAACAATTCCAGCTTCCAATATTGAGAATAAGAACCACAAACTCAAGCCAATAGAGCAACTTTGACTTTTGTGATATAAAATACACAAATCGAATATTCAAAGTAATGAAACAGCCAATACAGTCCAAGAACCGGGATGGTTTTAGATGATTCCCGATCCGGATTGACATCACTAGTCATCAATGATAATTGATGACTAAAGGATACGACCAATTCATGGTACTCGAGTTGGAAGGACGTTTTGGGTGATCTAGTCTAGGTTGGCCACATAAATACGTGATCTAATCCCCCTCCCTTTCGTCACCTTTGAGATCAATTTAACAAGAAAATATTTTTAGTTAAAATAAATGTTCTAGATTATTGCAAGGGTGAATTGATTGTATCAAATATTGAAATGTAGGAAAAGCGTTCAGTTAAGAAAAAACAAGGGAAAGGATCTTGTCCTATCCACGTATTTTTGTGGGCCTAGCAATAGCAATAGGTGGCCAAGCCCTTATTTTTTAGAGCCAGGCTAGCCCGCCCATTGCCAGCCCTTGTCCGGAGTTGCCTTGGCAACGTGAGGAATTTTGGAGGCACCACAATATGCGGTTAAAGTTAAACGTTCTTAACGGAAGAAATTTGGTAACTATCTCGAGGTGCATCGAGAAACTCATCTCTCTCTCCCAATGTTAAAAAAAAAAGTAAAAAAGTTCGATCTCTCTTCCTCTCTAGTTGTGTCAACCAAAATCGTTCCTTGGATTCTCATTGAGTATGTTATTCCATATTATGAATTGTAGGTGTAGTAAGGGAT